AGTTCTACAGAACTTCTCCTTTTCTTCCCTAACTCCTGTGATGACTTCCTTCCAACTCTAGTCTTCAAATTAAACTAATTACTATTCCTTGTGGTCACTGTCCTATTTTATGCACAGGTGTCCATATTGCTCAGCTGTATAGCACAGCTGATGCTCTAGGCTCTCCTCCCTGCTCCCAGACCCAAGCAGGTGCAGCTCCTTCTGTGGTTGTGTGGCACCTTCTGCACTCTTCCAGCCCAGCCCCCACCAACTGTCCAACTCACAGCAACAGCCGTCTCCTATCTCACCTCACAGTAAGCCCCCAACAGCCAAGTAACGGATTCCCCAACTTTACCCCCAAACCTATCTGAGTGCCTGGTACACAGTAGAGGCTCAGTGAATGCTGAATGAATAAATAAAAACAATAATGAAGGTCTTAAAAAAGTATAGAATATTTTACCTTTAGTACATTTGAAATTTTAATTTGGTTTTACCATGAGAAACTAGATTCTAAATCTCCCAGTTCTGATCTAGAGTACGGAATCTCTATGGACTCCTATTCAAGACTAGGTCATTTTATTTTTTGAGCGTCAGAAAAACTTCACAGAAGTCCGAGCTAAAAACCTGATCTATACCATCTTATTAAGAGTAATGCTGAAAGGGGCGCCTGGGTGGCTCAGTCGTTAAGCGTCTGCCTTCGGCTCAGGTCATGATCCTGGGGTCCTGGGATCGAGCCCCACATCAGGCTCCCTGCTCTGCGGGAAGCCTCCTTCTCCCTCTCCCACTCTCCCTGCTTGTGTTCCCTCTCTGTGTCTCTGTCAAATAAATAAAAATCTTAAAAAAAAAAAAAAAAAGTAATGCTGAAAATAAGGTGGTCCATGAGATTGTTTTTTAAAATATTGATCTACTTAAGTAATCTTAATCTCTACACCCAACGCAGGGCTCGAACTCACAACCACAAGGATCAAGAGTCACAGGCTCCTCCAACTGAGCCAGCTAGGCGCCCCGAGATTCTGCTTTTTTTAAACTAACATAATCTAAGGATGCATCAATAAAAACAGTTCCCAGATCAGGACAAGAAAGTTTTCTCTGCAGTTTGGAATGTATCACTTTAACTTTATTCACTGTACACATCCTACTGTTATTTATGAAGTAACTTCAATGGGGCAGAGACTTTTGATTTATTTAATGCAACATCCCAGCACCTGTAAGAATGCCTGGCATATAACAGTTCAGCAGACATTTATTCAGTGAATGCATGCACGTAAGAATCTTGCTTTGAACTGAGGGCTGAGTGGAAGAATTTTTCAAATAAAAGCAAAATGATCCAAGTGGTTTGTCTAATTACCTCCTTGCAAATCTGCTTCATCGTGACTTCCTCCAAGTTGGCACTGGCCAGTAATTTCTTCACGGTTTCCTTTAATTCTTCATCTGTAGGAGGTTTCTTTAATTTTTTAATTAAAGGTTCATCATCTGAACTATCCTCGGATTCACTTTCTAAAAGTAAGATAAGCATTCATTAGATTCTCAAAGGGGTATCAGGTAAAATGATACATCACCACTCTACAAATTAGGTACATAACATGCATTGACATTGTCAATTTTGAAAAATTACAACTATAAAAAAACTGGTATACCACTTCCCCCCAGCCAATTTTCTTTGCAGTTTATCTATTTTCCACACACACTTCAAAACTGTTAGAGTTCTACCTTTAGAGTTGCTGCAAATGTGTCATTTCTAACATACCTTTTTTGGAACTGTTTTGATTCTTCTTGGTGGTGCTGCTATCTGCCTTCTTAACATTAGCACTTTTTACAGTTTTCTTACTTTTAGAAGTAGCTTTCTGTTTAGGCTTTTCTCTTTTAGAGGTCTTTTTTGGTGGCTGGTAGAAAGGAAAGCAAAGAACATAGATCAATGATTTTAATTCCATTCCTCTATTCCTCTGTACCTCTCAACAATATTAGAGAAAATTAATGTATTCAACATCACCGATGAAAAATTACTAGTTATCAATTTCTGAGATAACCAATATCCTCAACAAATTTCACTTTAAACAAAACTAGTCACGAGAAGAATCAAACACTAAAAATAAGATGCCCAAATTTATTACACACTATAGACAAAAAACCTTATATGCACTGTCCTTACTTTAATCTTAAAAAATACCTCTAGAATATAGGTGCTATCAATGTTCTTCTATTGTCTCTCCCAGCTAGAATGGAAGTTCCATGAGGACCAGGATTTTTTTTCTTTTTTAACACTCTAAGGTCACTGATGTATCCCTAACTCCTAAAATAGTGCACCAGGCACAGCAGTTGCTCAGTAACTATTTCTGAATATATGAGGAGACTAAGGCTCGAGAGGTATTTTGTTCACAGCCACATAACTAACAAAATACACAAGTGAGGTTCAAATAGATCTGACTCCAGAACCTGTTTTCTTAAACACTGACTCATAGCTGATTAAACAAAAGCAAAGTATATACACATGGATAGATTAAAATGACAAAATTATAATTTATACTTTGTCCCAACCAGGGTCTTTGAAATTAGGGAACATTAATTCATTTAATTAATTTTCCCAAAGTAGAAGCATCTTATATAAGCAAATAGCTCAAGATAACCTAAAATCTCATCTTTACACACCAAAAATATTGCAAATCACTTCTGACAGAATGTCTCTCCAAATGTTTTATATTTTAATTTCTGATTATCATAATTCTTTAAAAAAAAAAAAGATGGATATTGGTTTGAACTTACTTTTAAAATTAAAGTATATAGATCAATCTGTTCCAAGAGATAAGTGGGCTCAGATGTATCTCTTTCCTCTTGCCAAACTGCCATCACTATGTATTCACACCAGGCCACCACCAGCAGCCTGTCCCTACTGCTGTAACGTACTCTTGGCAGGCAGCTGGCTAAGCTGGCTAGTTTAACTGCCACTAAATAATGCATTTGAGACGTGGCAAGGGGCCGAAATGCTTTCTAAAAGTAAAGTAGATGAGCTCTACCTATGCGTTATTATTTAGAGGCCACTTTTACTTATTTCCTAATTCTTGGAGGTGTTCTGAATAGTGGGGGGTGCTGGAAAGGTTATCACTGGTTCATCAATTCTCTATGACTAACTTGACCTAAGTTTTATCAAGTATCCACCTAATTCAGAAGAACCACACTAAACTTTAAAAGGGAATCCTAAAATTTCCTAAGTTCTGTTGGTGTATTTAATACATAAAATAATCACTATTATGTATCACATTTTAGTCAAAGTTTCATAAAATCTGGATCTGTAGGTGATTAAAATACAAGAAAATAAGAAAGGTTTGGGGAGAGTGAGCAAGGGATAACAACATTATAAGCATTATTACTTGATCCCCATCCAAATAAGATAATTAGAATCACATACTTAAAATACTTCCAGAGCCTTTTAAGGCCACGGTATACAGCTGTCATTAAAATTTTAGAAGGCACACAATATGGCACCATTTTAAAACCTGCAAATCGGGAGTAGTGCTAGTTTGACAAAGTATAAAAATTCACAGTGATAAAGGATAATTAAGCCATCTCCACAAGATGTCACCACTGGACAAACCCAAAGAATTAAAACTATGCTGCTTTCTATATCTCACATCATCTAGCAGAGACAGTGTTCCCCAGTTTTTTAAGTGAACAACTAGCCTATTAAGAGAAACACTGTAAACATATGGTCACACGCACTATAGAAACCTAACAGGTAAGAGTGTGGGCTCTGGAGGCTAGCTGCCTGGTTTCAGATTCTGGCTCCAGTTCCCTCATTTACAAAATGAGGGAAATGTAACAGTACTTAATAAATGCATTAATACATGGAAAGTACTTTTTTTTAAAAATTTTATTTTATTATGTTATGTTAATCACCATACATTACCTCATTAGTATGGTGCCAGGCTCATAGGAAATGGTTAATGAATATTAGCTATTATTACTATTATGAGTGCTTCCTTTTGTAAAGGAATTCTTTCATTAAACACATGTAGTAACTTGGAACTTTTAAAGTTTTCTTTAAAAGCAAGGCACATATAAAGAATAGATACACAGAACCAAAGCAGTAAGATAGACTCTGTTAACTAACCATGATATATTGTGCTTATTTCATTATGTTCTCATAGATTTTACTGGACCCACAAACATCCCTGTTATAATAAACTGTGTTATTTATACCGGATTTCACTTATCTTTAGTAACCAGTTACAAGTTATTCTGTGACAAATTGAAGGTAGGAATTCAAAAAAGTGATAAATGTTGTTGGCATGGAGTAGCAGTGAAAACGTAGTAGTAAAATAATCAAACTCTACAGAACCACATATCTTCAGGTTTCATCTTGAGCAGAGAGGCAATCAGACTAACTCCCACTAGCCTTGCCGATGTAAAGAATCACCTCCGTTGCCCGAATGATAAGTTTTAGGTACGTACAGAAGAGGTCACTATGAAAAATGGGGCATCCCAAAGGACATTGGTACTGGGACACAATGGACAATTTCTGGTAAGGTGAATAATCTGGTATTTTGGAGGTAAAGAGGCCCGGGGAGAACGGAGGAGAGTGAAAGCATGCCCACTTATACTCTACAGGAACTTTCAAATCCTCATTACCTTACTTCCCTCCTCTCCTCAGAAAAATCTCACGCATGAGTCCAAATCCAGCCACCCACTCTGAATCTTTCATTTTATCACCAACTGATTAATCTGTGGTCCCACAGTACTTGGCCTACAATTCATGTATCCCTACCTCATGTGAGGCAATGAGTAAGAACACAGGTTTCAGAGCCAAATTTCCTGGTTCAAATCCTGACTCCACTACCGACCAATTTTGTATTCTCAAGCAAATCACTTACCTTCCCTGGGCCTGTTTCCTCATCTGTAAAATGGAGGTAATAATACCAGACTTTGCTGAATTTAACATTTTTTTTTTTCACATTTTCTCATCTCAGCAGTATCTGACTGGGGTGCATTTTATAATTTACATTAAAATGATGCCTTGTAGGCATCGGAGATTCGATGAACTGTGGCCATATCTGTAGAATTGTTGTGAGGATCAAATGAGTAAATAAATATAAGGTAGCAGAGAAAACAAACATTTAATATACAGCTTTATTAAACTAGTTATTTACAGCCTGTTTTCCCACCCTATCAGAAGTTTCTTAAGGGTGTATTTGACAATCTCCATGAGAACAGACTCGGCGGCCTTATTTATTAGCTCTATCCGTCCCCAGCAACCTTAAAAATGTTGGGCATAGAGCAGCCATTTAAATATTTGTCATGTTCACCTCTGTATCGTTTTTAGGGTATGGTTTACTCATACTCTGAACCCAGGACGTGGTTAAAATGTAATTAAAAGGAAAAGGAAAAAGGCATCTCTATAGTACACTATCTTATATGAGCGTAAAAAAAAAAAAAAAAAAAAAAAAAATCCAAAGACGAAACAGTTTATTTCACTACAAAGGAGGAAACCATATCTGTGTAGTTGAGAGCCGATGCCTTACAGACAGTAAGAAGCAAGACCTCTGATTCTTAAGTTCAGTGTGCCTCCTACCATAGATTAGTTGCTTATAGAAATGACTAACATACCTATATGTCTTTTAAGCCAGAGTTGAAATGACAGAAATAAGCCAGTTATATGACCTCTTTATGTTCTTAAAATTAACTTTTTCCATTACATACAAATGTTACCAATGATAACAATAAAAAAAGTTGGCAGAAAATGCAAAATAGCAACAAAGGATCACCAAACTCTGTATTAGGGCTCTCTGGCCTTTCACCCTCCAAATTTTATAGAGGCCCCAGGATCATTTCTCTAGAAATTTTTTTAAAAGCTAAGATGGGCCTTAGTGTAATCCAATTTTGTATAGTTTTTACCAAATCTCTCACTCTGCTGACCTCTCCTGTTTATCCTTTAAAAGCTCAAATTGTGAGCTTGCCCGTCTGATCTTTGCTCCCCCCATGTCCCTAGAAAGAGGTGAATACCCTTTATCCTGAGCCTCCACATTATCTTGTCCAAATCTCTTTTTAGCTTTTAAGTTATACTCTATTTTATTCCTCCCGATCTCTGACTTCTCCCTTTCTACCAACAACTGCTGACCGCAGAGACCCTGTCTTGTTTCTTGATCTCCACCACACGGCTCAGAACCAGTACTTAGTGGTTGCTATGTAATTATTGGGAAGATGGAGATGGGAAAAGATTCTTGAAAACTAGATAACTATTCAAGATCTACTCCAACCCTGAGGTTCTGTGTCATCAGCACCACTCCGCTTGCTAGGAGAACATGTTTGCTACTAACAGCAGCCAAACTTTTTCATTTTTAAATATAACTGTCTTCTGGCACAACTTATCTATAAGGTTATGCATGTAAGAGAAGGAAAAGAGACCGTTAGGTAAATCATCAAGGGTGAGGGCTGGGGACCTATATATTTTTTTTAAAGCGCTGGAGCAGACTCACCCAGCTATAAGTCTTCTAAGATGATAGATAAATTTATAGTCTGCATCTCTCACCAAGCTTTCTCTATAAAGTGCCAGAGGGTAATTAATTTAGGCTTTGCTGCCTACATGTGCTTACTGTTGCAATCTTCATTTTTTATTTTAACAAACATTTCAAAAATGGAAAACCATCCTCAGTTTCTAGGCTGTACAAAAACAGGCAATAGGCCGGATCTGGTGTATAGGGCTATAGTTGCCAATTCCTGGTCTAGATTATAAATTATTGGAGCTATATAGGTTAAAAGCAGGAACTAGATAAATTCGTAAGATAATTTCTTAAGTTATATATTTATGTCAACAGCTTTTAGTTTTTTTTTTTAATAATCAGAAGTGGATATATACTTATTAACTTATCTAAAGCTATTGCTTAAATCAAATTTCAATCTAAATCAGTAGTTCTATAGAGACAACTCTGAAGACAGAAGCATATGAACTAGCAGCTCTGGAAAGAGTAATATGGACATTAAAAAATATTAGTGTACACCTGAAACTAATGTGACATTGTGTGTCAACTGTACTTCAATACTAAAAAAATACATATATATATATATTTATTATATCCTTGGAGTGCAAATATGAGGATATATCATCCTCTCTCTTGGGAGTCAAGAATGACTTAGATATAAGATGTGAAAGTACATGGCACATAGGAGATTCTCAGCAAGTCTGCTCCTTGTATTTACCAAGAAATGCTTACTCCTCTCCCCAGGTAGACTGTTCCTAGAAGACAGAGGCCAGGTCTCTTTTTTCTTTCTCAGCAAAATTCAGATAGAATAAGACCACCATTTTGAATAACAAGAATGATGCATCTATTATTTATACCAATGCCCAACCTCCTGAGTTCTCCAGAGTCTGGCTTCAGTGCACACTGCTCTAGCTTTCTCTCTCACTGCTTTACTTCTGGACACATTACCTAACCACAAACAAGTGTGTCTGTCAGAGGGACCCTGGACTTTCTCGCTCCCCATCTCTGTCCACATGTCCAACTTTCCTTTCTATTCCCCCAAGGTCAGTTTCAACTGGTACTTCTATCATTGCTCTCCAAAGCTTTCCCTCAGCAATAGATAAAAATATTTTCTTTTGGAATCCTATATTAAGTATCTTTCAAATGGCATTTGGGTAGAAAATATTTTCTGGAACCTCAACACAGCACTTAGTGTACTCTCAATTTATTGAACTGAATAATATAAAAGTAGTAACACGAAAAACCCCTGCTTTAAAATCTCTCTTAAGGGGTGCCTGGGTGGCTAAGTTGTTAAGCGTCTGCCTTAGGCTCAGGTCATGATCTCAGGGTCCTAGGATCGAGCCCCGCATCAGGCTCCCTGCTCAGCGGGGAGTCTGCTTCTCCCTCTCCTACTCCCCCTGCTTGTGCTCCCTCTCTCGCGGTCTCTCTCTGTCCAAAAAAAACAAAAACAAAAAACTTAAAATCTCTCTTAAAATATTTTGAAAATTTTAGTAATTATAGCAAACCCATTTATGTGGCATTACAAAGGAAAAATGTTGGAGGTACTCATGAGAGTTAACTATGTTTTGTTATTTAATCAAACAAGAGTCAAGACTTGAGTCTTTCATCAAAATATATGGGAAAAAATTAGGTGGTTCAGTTTAAAAAAAATCAAGAAAAGGCTAGTTTCCAAATTGTCATGGGATTTATTAAGATTCTGGCTTGTTATTTTTGAATCTGCTGTGAGTGGTTCAATCAGAACCATCCAGTATTGTAGTAAGTTTTAATGCGAAACAGACAAAAGGGAAACAGACAAAAATTGACAGCTGCCATCAATTTCAGATAGTGCTATGCACTGTGATCTAATTTTGTAAAAGATTAGTAATAGAAATTTTTTAAAATTTGAAGAGGATTTTTGTATCTCTGATAACCGTGAAGGTATAGAATCAGAGGAATGACACAAGCACTTTTTGAAGGAAGGCCAAAAAAAAAAAAAAATCTTGGGAGAAAAGGCTTACCTATCTTTTATAGGCAGCAGGGCTCTTGAAGGAGGGTCTCCAAAAAAGACGCCTGTCACAGAGCCAGAATCCTGTCCTCACAGCAGAAAGGTTGTACTGGGTGAACAGATGAACAAAATAAAAATTAGCTTAAAATACACTATTCTTTTAACAACTTGGCTGAGAAAACTCAAGAGTGCCAAGAGTAAAGAATGTGCGAGGCTCATTATATTTCACAAAAGATTATGAAAGCAAATTTAAGTCTAAGATTTTATTATGGTGATTATTCAACTTTGCCTTCCAGCAAAAGATTTTAATAATTTATATGGTTTTGGGGGCGCCTGGGTGGCTCAGTTGTTAAGCGACTGCCTTCGGCTCAGGTCATGAACTCAGGATCCTGGGATCGAGACCTGCACTGGGCTCCCTGCTCCGCGGGAAGTCTGCTTCTTCCTCTCCCATTCCCCCCACTTGTGTTCCCTCTCTTGCTGTGTCTCTGTCAAATAAATAAATAAAATCTTAAAAAAAAAATAATTTATATGGTTTTGTAAATCCTCTGATCAAATTATGAGATGGAGGTGGGAGGGGGATTCTTATTTTTTAGAACATAATTAAGGACTAACAAAACTTTTACATTCACTCTCCCACTTCTACCGAGTAATTCCCTGAATGGTCCAAATATTTAAGTTTACCAAAAACTGTAACTGAAAGTTTCTCTGATCTGGCAAACATTGTAGGATGGCTCACTCAACACCTTTATTTGCCTTCCTCCACAGATGCAAGAAAGCTACCACCTGGACCTCACAGCCTCCCCTGCAGCTAGAGGTAGAGAGGTGATAAAGTTCTGGCCAAGGCAACTTACACGGAGATCTCTGGCAAGAGGCATCTCTTCTGGGGAAAAAAAGAGCGAAAACATTACTAGAAGAAAGCCCTTTGCTCTTCTCAATCTGGAGCAGAGATTTAATGCCTAAAGGTACAACCACCATCTTGTGATCATGAGGTTAAGTGCCACATATGCAGATGGTGGCTCAGGAAGAAAGGGGTTATTCAAGTTCCTGATACCTTTTTCTCAAGCTGATGTACTGGCCCCAAATTGCCTGTCTGTGGATTTCTTGTCATGAAAGAAAAAAGAACTTCCATTTTAGACATTACTAGTAAGGTTTTTACATATTTACAGTTGAAGACATTCCTGATACATATGGGAACATTCAGATAAATTTTAAATACCAAATAATAATTCAGTTTGTTGTATACTTTTCTAGCTATAAGAATGTTATAAAAACACTAAGAAAAACAGAAGAAGTATAAATTTTAAAAAACTAAGTATGCCTTTAAGGGTCTAAGAGATTATCAGAACTGTGTTCTCCAGTGTGGGAAGCACTTCTTTCTGTACTCTCCAGTACTTCTCTATGCCTAAGGTCTAACACCAGTGGTAAATGACATACATACCTAAGCATGGTTTAATCTCACTGGTTCATTTTAGCAATCTTCTCCTAAAGATGCCAATCCAATATAGGAACCAGATGATTTTCAGAATAAGTTTATAGAAAATAACTAAACCTGTCATTTTCCTATTCCCCCATTTTTAAGAAATTTCGTCCTAAGTCTAAACTGCTCTCCTCCTACTGCCCTAAGCAAATGTCCAAGAGCCAAGATGATAAGTTTAAAACAGCTCTTTTATAAAGTCACTCTTGGAAAGAGCAACTTCTTATTGGAGTTACTTCTAAAGAAAAGGAAGATTTAAAACCGCCGTGAACCACTCACAGCCTATCACAGAAACAGCTCCAGGTACAGAGAACCTCCAACAAAGTGTCTTAGCAATTATAGGCTAACAGGCTTAAATATGACACGTATTCTTACAAAAGACTAAAAAACCCTGACAATTATTTTAAACTATGTGGTTTTCAGTGACTTCAATATTACATTTAAGAGATAATAAATTTACTTATAAATATCCTAGTCTTCCACACAGCTAAGTATGAAAATGAGCAGGTGAATGAGTAACACTCAACCTCATGTAACTGGTCAATGGACAACTATAACTTGAACTGGATTTCTGCTTGAGAGTCCTGACTTTAGCAATATGGTATTATTTAGTCCAAAGCCCTCCATTTACAGAGGAAACCAAAGATAACATTAATCTACCCAACTTCATAGTTACTTACTCCAAGAATCTAAAATAAAACAAGAAAATATTAAGGGGGGACAAATCTTTTATTTATAAAGTCTGTCTGTCTCAGGAAATAAACAGAATAATATTAACTTAGTAATTTTCTATGAAAAGAATCTACAAAAAAATTCTATCTACAGGCAATCCACAACTTTTCCAATCAACCTTTAACTCTTCTTTATGGCCTCTTAGAAAAAGAGGTCCATGGGGCACCTGGGTGGCTCAGTTGGCTAGGCAGCTGCATTCAGCTCAGGTCATGATCCCAAGATCCTGGGATCAAGCCCCACGTTGGGCTCCCTGCTCCGCGGGAAGCCTGCTTCTCCCTCTCCCACTCCCCCTGCTTGTGTTCCCTCTCTTGCGGTCTTTCTCTGTCAAATAAATAAATAAAATCTTTAAAAAAGGGGGGGGGGGAAACACAGTTACCATAGGAATTCTGTTCCTACTGCTACTACTTACCTTTCGTAGGAACAGAATCAGAAATAAAGATTTTAAGAATAGTCCTAAATTTGAGATAGCCTTTAGAGCCATGAAAAATAGACTTATGAGGAAAAGAAAAAAGAAGTATTCCTCAGTCCAGATCTTACTGGACCGTATTTTACGAAGTTTGTCAGTACCAGCCCAGGTAGAAAAACCAGAGCAGAGAACAGAGTGTTATGATAGAGCGTTTATGTTGTGTGACTTCATATAATGTCTGTAAAAGCCTATTTGTGTTTTCTTTTTTTCTTACGTGGATTTTCACCATTTGACCTGGGTTTCTAGCAAATGATCCTTTTTTATGGTCCTGCAGAAAGGCTTTGATTTATAAGTGGGACAGTTCCACTTGTGATCATTGTCCAGGAACCAATATGGTTATAAATCAGAGGTCATCTACATTCACAAGCTTCAAGTAATTCTACTTAGAAGAGGACAATAATCTGGAAAGCAAGTAAGAAAATGAGTATAAAATACCCTCACCTTTTAACCTGCATCTTAGTAATGACAGGAAGACTGGATTTAGGAATATTACATATGATAAAAGGTTATCTTAACACTAATAGGAATAGCAGCAGCTAATACTTACATAGTACTTGTGCAAAGCACGGCTCTAAGTGCTTTAAATAAAGTCACTGAAAACCCTTTGAGGCTGGTACTGTTATCAACCCCATATTACAGATGAGAAGCTAAGGTATGGAGTTTATAAGTAATCTGCCCAAAGTCATAATCTAAGGTACAGCTGGGATTTGTACCCAGATAGATGCCAAAGCCCATGCTCATAATCACATTGCCTCTATGGAAAAATTAGATGTTTATATTCTATGACAACTTTTTATGCTTTAAATCTGCCTCTAAAAAGGTTTTAGGAAGCATAGTGAATACATGTAGTAATAACCCAGAATCTGTTGAATGAGAATGATTATTACTGCAAAATTGCTATTATTATAGATTCACATATAAACAAACATGTTTCCCTCTTGATGTCCTTAAAATCTATTCCATAAAAACCTTAGGGCTGAGATTACTCATCTTCCCTTGCTCCAAAAATATATTATGAAATACCTGCTAGACCTGTAATACCCTTTTGTAAATTATGAAGCATTTCATACTTAGCTTTATAGAGATCTTTATAAAATCTGACATTAAAATAATCATGGATTTTAAATACCTAAAAACAAATACACACATATATAAAATCAGAGTTTATTACATCTTTATTCCTTCTAATCCAGTAGTTACCAACTAGAGGTGATCCTCCCGCCCCCACCCCCAAGGACATTTGGCAATGTTTGAAAACATTTTTGGTATTCACAACTGGAGGTTTGGGGGGATGGGGGAGGGTGCTACTCTCCTCTAGTGGGCAAACATTCTATAATGCACGAACATTCTATAATCCACAAGAAAGAATCACCTTGGCCCAAAAAGTCAAGCCAATTAATCACGTCCCTAAATAAGACAAGGGAGATGACCCAGTTTACAGAGCAAGTTCTGACAACTGAAGGAGACATCAAAACAAAGTTAAAACAGAGTCTGCCAAACTTTTAAAGAATTAATACCTATTCTTCTGAAACTGTTCCAAAAAACAGAAATGGAAGGAAAACTTCCAAACTTGTTTTATGAGGCCACCATTACCTTGATCCCAAAACCAGACAAAGACCCCATCAAAAAGGAGTATTACAGACCAATATCCCTGATGAACATGGATGCAAAAATTCTCACCAAAATACTAGCCAATAGGATTCAACAGTACATTAAAAGGATTATTCACCACGACCAAGTGGGATTTATCCCTGGGCTGCAAGGTTGGTTCAACATCCGCAAATCAATCAATGTGATACATTAATAAAAGAAAGAACAAGAACCATATGATCCTCTCAATAGATGCAGAAAAAGCATTTGACAAAGTACAGCATCCTTTCTTGATCAAAACTCTTCAGAGTGTAGGGATAGAGGGTAGATACCTCAATATCATAAAAGCCATCTATGAAAAACCCACAGCAAATATCATTCTCAGTGGGGAAAAACTGAGAGCTTTCCCCCTAAGGTCAGGAATACGGCAGGGATGTCTACTATAACCACTGCTATTCAACATAGTATTAGAAGCCCTAGCCACAACAATCAGACAACAAAAAGAAATAAAAGGCATCCAAATCAGCAAAGAAGTCGTCAAACTCACTCTTTGCAGATGACAGGATACTTTATGTGGAAAACCCAAAAGACTCCACCCCAAAACTGCTAGAACTCATACAGGAATTCAGTCAAGTGGCAGGATATAAAATCAATGCACAGAAGTCAGTGGCATTCCTATACACCAACAACAAGACAGAAGAAAGAGAAATTAAGGAGTCGATCCCATTTACAACTGCACCCAAAACCATAATATACCTAGGAATAAATCTAACCAAAGAGGCAAAGAATCCGTACTCAGAAAACTATAAAATACTCATGAAAGAAATTGAGGAAGACACAAAGAAACGGAAAAACGTGCCATGCTCATGGATTGGAAGAACAAATACTGTGAAGATGTCAATGCTACCTAGAGCAATCTACACATTCAATGCAATCCCCATCAAAATACCATCCACTTTTTTCAAAGAAATGGAACAAATAATCCTAAAATCTGTATGGGACCAGAAAAGACCCCGAATAGCCAGAGGAATGTTGAAAAAGAAAAGCAAAGCTGGTGGCATCACAATTCCGGACTTCCAGCTCTATTACAAAGGTGTCATCATCAAGACAGCATGGTACTGGCACAAAAACAGACACAAAGATCAATGGAACAGAATAGAGAGCCCAGAAATGGACCCTCAACTCTATGGTCAACTCATCTTCGACAGAGCAGGAAAGAATGTCCAATGGAAAAAAGACAGTCTCTTCAACAAATGGTGTCGGGAAAATTGGACAGCCACATGCAGAAGAATGAAACTGGACCATTTCCTTACACCACACACAAAAATAGACTCCAAATGGTTGAAAGACCTCAATGTGAGACAGGAGTCCATCAAAATCCTAAAGGAGAACACAGGCAGCAACCTCATCGACCTCAGCCGCAGCAACTTCTTCCTAGAAACATCGCCAAAGGCAAGGGAAGCAAGGGCAAAAAGGGACTTCACCAAGATAAAAATCTTTTGCACAGCAAAGGACAGTCAATAAAACCAAAAGACAACCGCCAGAATGGGAGGAGATATTTGCAAATGACTTATCAGATAAAGGGCTAGTATCCAAAATCTACAAAGCACTTATCAAACTCAACACCCAAAGAACAAAGAATCCAATCAAGAAATGGGTAGAGGACATGAACAGACATTTTTCCAAAGAAGCATCCAAATGGCCAACAGACACATGAAAAAATGCTCAACATCGCTCGGCATCAGGGAAATCCAAATCAAAACCTCAATGAGATACCACCTCACACCAGTCAGAATGGCTAAAATTAACAAGTCAGGAAATGACAGATATCGGCGGGGATGTGGAGAAAGGGGAACCCTCCTACACTGTTGGTGGGAATGCGAGCTGGTGCAGCCACTCTGGAAAACAGTATGGAGGTTCCTCAAAAAGTTGAAAATAGAGCGACCATACAATCCAGCAATTGCACTACTGGGTATTTACCCCAAAGATACAAATGTAGGGATCTGAAGGGGTACATGCACCCCGATGTTTATAGCAGCAATGTCCACAATAGCCAAACTGTGGAAAGAGCCAAGATCTCCATCGACAGACGAATGGATAAAGAAGAGGTGGTGTGTGTGTGTATATATATATATATATATATATATATACACACACACACACAATGGAATATTATGCAGCCATCAAAAGGAATGAGATCTTGCCATTTGCAACGACATGGATGGAACTGGAGGGTGTTATGCTGAGCGAAATAAGTCAATCAGAGAAAGATATGTATTATATGATCTCACTGATATGAGGAATTCTTAATCTCAGGAAACAAACTGAGGGTTGCTGGAATGGAGGGGTGGGAGGGATGGGGTGGCTGGGTGATAGACATTGGGGAGGGTATGTGCTATGGTGAACGCTGTGAATTGTATAAGACTGCTGAATCACAGACCTGTACCTCTGAAACAAATAATACATTGTATGTTAAAAAAAAAAAAAAAGATAGTAGGAAGGGATCAGGGGGGAAATCAGAGGGGGAGACGAACCATGACAGACTACGGACTGTAGACTGAGAAACAAACTCAGTGTTCTAGAGGGGAGGGGGAGGGGGGGATGGGTTAGCCTGGTGATGGGTATTAAAGAGGGTACGTATTGAATGGAGCACTGGGTGTTATACACAAACAATGAATCATCGAACACTACATCAAAAACTGATGTTATGTATGGCGATTAACATAATAATAAAAAAAGAGGGGTGCTGGGGAAAAGAAAAAAAACAGTCTACCAAAACACTATGAGCTATAATAAGTCATTTCCTTTACTGAGGACATGTATCAAGGAGAGGGTAAAGCTAACTTTTTAAATGGTTCAGCAGCTCTTCTCTTGCTGAAGTTTCACTTGGGAAACTAAATATTCTCAAAATTTTACAGATACACCCACGTAAAAGAAAATGGCAGGCATTCTTAAGTGATACAAAACTTGCCCACCCATCAAATAAACTTGAAACACCGTTTTGCTCATTAAATAATCCCCAAATGGGTTGAGAATAACTGGGGTCCTTAAACCCCTTGCTTTTTTGCATAAAACAGAAAACGGCTCAAATCAATGATAAAATATTAACATAAAAAATTCTCAAGCAATCTGTTTCTTTGGGTTCCTGTTCAGTATATGCACTGCCCCCCCTTCCCATTTACCTACTCTAATCTTCAAGGTCCAGCTCAAATCCAGCCAACCTCACTCTTCCAACTCCAAGCTCTCACATGGCCAGAAAACCAAAAGCTCCATAAGGGAAAGAAAAGATCTATTCTTAACTATTTTTGTATCTTTGGAATTAAAAACAACCATTTTGGTACTAACAGTTTCTAGAAACTGTTTTCTGGCTATACTTATCACATGACAAGAATATTTAACTCTCCCCATGGAAAAAAATGAGAAAAAAAAAACCCACAAACACCTAACATTTTACCTCCTCTTCACTTTCTTTATCTTCATCATCCGAAGACTCTTCCTTGTTTTTCTTTTCGTCTTCATCACTGCTAGATTCATCTGACAGAATTTCAGGACATTTGGTTCGCTTAGCTTTCCTTGCCATTCCAGAACTGTTCCGTTCCTTTTTGTTGCCTTTGCTAGAACTTTTTTTAGATTTTGGCAATGGCTGTGTACAATAAAATAAAGATAACACCAATGGGCTATTGTATTTCCAAGTCAATCATTTTTGATAACTTATCAACTCATTCTTGTTCCTGTCTCAAGAAGTATTTCCAAACTTAGCAGTTTTACAGAGAACAATTCACCTTTAAAGTGTCAAGTTGATCTTTTTGTCCACACTATCAATACCCTTTCATTTGTGTTCTAACACCTAGGCAAGACTCTTCACAAATGCTGAAATAAATACTGTGTTCTGACATGGGATTAGAAGCCCAAGTACACACTGCATTAAGCTCAGTTATTTACACTTTATCAAGGCAATATTTTGAGTTAGACTTGTAATTTATTTCATTCCTATTAGCATTAAAACCGTCAATGCCAGAGGAGCTTCTTGCTTTAGGGGAACCTCCAATCAAAAGACCGGAGCCATCTGTAAAGGAAACAAAACCTCACTTTACACATCCTGAATTTATGATCTATATAGTTTATATTCATATTACCTCTGGGCTCTACTTTCAGTAATGCCAGGATTATATTCTCATTGATGACTCTAAATATGCAATTAGTGTTGGGTATGTTAATTATGAAGCTGATTAAGAACCACAAAATATATGTATTGTGTTTTGCTCTGATATTTAATTAAACCACGCACATTTAAAAAGCAGAGATCACGCAAGGAAACAATTTGATTACCCAACAAATTTAATTCTTAAATGCTTTCTTAGGGGAGTATTTGCTAACTTTTGAAATTGAAAACCATAAAATAACCTTGCATAAAAGATCTGAAAAGATATACCTCGAGGAATTGAAATTTCCAAAATTATAGGTATCTTTTAAGTTTTTATTTTTGCCTATATTATTTTCTACAATAAGCAGAAATAGTAAGGAAAATTCCATAACATAACCTTATGATATACAATTGTATAAATGTTAGGATAACTTTACGCAAAATCTTTCACAAAGCTAGGAGAACCACAGATTGTTTCTCTCCTAGAAACTGCCAGTCTTAAAGGTCACCATCACCTGCACAAAAATTAAGAAAAGGTGGCTGTTTTGTGTATGTAGTGTTCTCAGGCTATGTACAATCCACAAGATAGCCTCTAGCTGCCCCCAAAAATCTATCCTTCCTACAGGCAGACTGGGTAGCAGCCAATGTAGGTCACTTCAGGAATTTTAAGTTAGTGGATGAATGATATTTCTCAGAGGGGTTCTCTGTAAGTTTCCATAAAAAACTTTCTTGAAAATATACAGATATCCTTGTTATGAGACCTGTTACTATTACCAACTAGTACCAGGAACTAAATCCATTTGGATAAATTCTTTGATCTCACTGGAGAAAAGGTGACTCTCACTGTCCAAACTCTCCCTATTCATTATATGAAATCCAGGACTCAAATATATTAGAAAAATGTGGTATCCCTTACTATCTCAGTTCAGGAACCAGATACAGGTAGTAAGAATATAATCTGTATATGGAATCAGTAGTAAGATGATGGGTGCAGGATAATCTTATACAGGAAGTGGAAGAACATTAAATTATTCAAGTAATCAATCAAGAAAATTCAACTTCCAAAAATAAAAGAGGTTAAAAAAAAAAGTAACAATACATAAATGTTTTAGAGCTTTCCTATATTGGTTCTAAAAATAGTTGAATCTATTAACCAGAATCCAGAGTCAACAGCATCATCCCTTTTAGAACAAAATCTGAAAAACAGATAATCAAGTCAGAAGCACAAAATGAGGATAGTAAAACAATGTTAATTCAATAATTTTATTATTATGGAGAAAGAAATCAGTACTAATGAGTCTATAGTGTTTTCCTGAACTGACAGAAAGGTATGGTAGTGTAGAAAATAACTTGAGATTGGTATCATTAGGTTAAAGAGTAGTTCTCACAGAATCAGATACGGAAAGCGGATGTTAAGAGTTGGATTCTGTAAGGCTAAGAGTGGTTCTCAGAATATGGTTCATGCACCTGGGGCTTCCTGAGGCCTTTTCAGAAGCCCACAAGGTCAAAACTATTTTCTATAATATAATAATAATAATATAATATCAAGGCATTATTAGTTTCCTCTTTTCACTGTTGGAATCTGTAGTGACTCTGCAAAAGCAAGGTGGCTGTAAAATTGCTGGCACCTCAGTACTAACGACGGCGGAGGCAGCCAACTGTGCTACAGTCACTATATTCCTCACAGCCCCAAACCAGGAAGGAAGAAGAAAAAGGTGTTTCCTTTAAGAATGCCTTTGACGGGGCGCCTGGGGGGCTCAGTCGGTTGAGCGACTGCCTTCGGCTCAGGTCATGATCCTGGAGTCCCGGGATCGAGTCCCGCATCGGGCTCCCTGCTCGGCGGGGAGTCTGCTTCTCCCTCTGACCCTCCTCCCTCTCATGCTCTCTGTCTCTCATTCTCTCTCTCAAATAAATAAATAAAATCTTAAAAAAAATAAAAAAAAGAATGCCTTTGACGCAGCAGTAAATATTGTATTAGCTCTCAACCTGTGAGTACATGTCTTTACGCAGTCTGTAACAAAACGGGAGGTACACATAGAATATGTTTGCTACTTACTGAACTTCACTGGTTTTCTCAAGAAAAAGCACTTGCACAACTGAGCTGTGAGCTAAGCTAGCTACCTCTCCCATGAAACACCGTTTGTAAAAGAACTGTAAAAGTCTGCCTATTCAGATTCAGGTATTTAAAAAACATGTGTTCAAAATGAACATGAGCCTGTCACTGCAAGGAAAGCAACTGATGGTATTTATTGCCAATGACAAATTTCAAAACTTCACAGGGATAATTCACATCCATCACCATGAACTAACAGCCTCCCAATACCTAGTGATTCTTCTCATGAGATGGTGATTATATTAATGAATGACTTTTTGACAGTGTTTAATGGAAATGTGCCCATATTTGGAAGATCTGCATAATTCAGAAAACCAGTAATTTCCAAATGGTGAATGCAATTACAAAATCATAGATAAAAGGTCTAAGAGTTCATTGACTTGGTTTCAGACACCACATTACAACTAACCTTTAGATAAACTACCACTGTGGAGTTTTGGTATTGTATCAAAGAACACCTGTAATTATCTCAAAGCTTTTAAAATATTCCTTTTTCTGATTACTTACCTGTGAGAAGCGGATTTTCTTTACATACTTTAAGCAAAAAAATAACATGTGCAATAGACTGAAATGCAGAAGCAAATGAGAATACAGCGGTCTTCTCTTAAGCCAGACATGAACAGACTTGCAAAAATATAAAACAATACCATTCTTCTAATTTTTTTGGAAGTATAGTTATTTTTCATACAAAATATTACTTGTGTTAACATGTAGTAGGCTTACTGTTATTTAAAAATTTTTCAGTTTTTATTTATAATACAGTAAATATCAAAATAAACCACATAAAAGCTTCTGGAGTCCTCATGAATTTTTAAGAGAGTAATCAGGTCCTAAATCACTGAGGAAAAGAATATAAACACATCCCTCATAACTTAAGCAACTTAGTAATGTCTTCTGGAGAAATGGTTTTCAATTTGTCACATGAAATTTTAAGTAGAGGTCTGGCCATAGTAAAAGTTTAGAAAAATAGATAATCTCATCTTTAAGCCAATTCAAAATACCAAAAACAAAAGATTCACCACGGCCCTTGGGTTTTTAGTTGCATGACAACTTACAAAAATATCCTTTATCAGTCTTTGCCGAGCTAATGGTAAACTGGACCAACAGCAGATAAAACCAAAGTCCCAGAGCTATTTTCTGATTTCTAATCTTTATGCCCTCTTCCCTCACCAGTGGTATTCCCCTGAACTCCTAGGTCCTCTATATCTCTTCATAATTTCTTTGCTATCAAAATAAAGAAGAATACGAAAATATATACTGACAAACTTCAAACTAAAAAGCAAGGTCATGTAAATAACACTTCAAGAGACATTTTAAATCAGTGATGTCATTTGTTAAACAATCCGGGCAAACCTAATCTAAATTTAGGGAAGAATGGGGGAAAGTATAAGGCCATTTTACTTCCCTGTCCAACTCCTGGGCTCTGCTGATTCTGGAAACCCAATCCAAGAAACCTGTAAGAGTCAGTTTTTGGGTTTGTTTGTTTGTTTTTTAATGTTCTATTTTCATAACCTTCTTCCAGTGTCTAGAAAATATCCAGTTCTAATATACCCCATCTCATCTTTCCTGACCTAGTTGAAGGTTGCATACCCTCCCTGCCCAACCCAACACCTCACCCTCAACTCAACCTGTTTCTGTTCTTCCAGTGCCTTCTAGATATATAACCCTGGAATTTAGTTTGTATTTCTGTCCATTTAACATCAATTTAGTGAATAATTATTTTTCTCAATCTTATACCTTTTTTAATCTGATAAGAGGATAGATCTGTCTGGCTTCTATGTTATTTCTATCATGAAATTGTTGCAGATATGTCAACAGAGTAGTATATTCTTTGAATGTAGAAGGCAATACTGAATACTGACAAGCAATGCTGCTAACAAATTAAATTGTTCCATAAAAAAAGAAAGGAGAGTCTATAAATAATTGATTTGTATTGAAATAATAAAAATCGGTCCTCACTTTGCCAGAAGGCTTTGGATGCATTAAGAAATTCAAGATCCTCTTCACCAGTTCACTATTTACACCTGATCTCTCCAAATCAAGAACCTCACAGATGCTCTTTAACATGGCATTTCTAAATCTAAAACAGAAAATGAAAGAAACCAAGTTTATTATGTAGCAAAGTTTATAAATATTCTCCACAACATAAAGACAATTGCTAAACAAACTGGCTCAGGTACAAACATTAAAA